GAGAGAGAGAGAGAGAGCGCGCGCGCGCTGTTTTTTAAGTATTCGAAATCTTTAATCAAAGTACAGTACAGACAGTTTTGGAGTATTGGTTTTGGCCATCCTCAGTGTACAAAAAATCAAAGTTTATTTTATATAATTATTTTCCAGTACTCAGGATGTTTCCCACTTTTTAACAAAAATCTCCTCTACCTAACTTCTTCGTTCCTTTCTTTTACTTTGACTTTTATATTTGTTATTTGTAATTTATTTATTTTCCTTTTTCTAACATCATGTAGGATATGCTTCTTGAAAGATTTGAGTTTAGGTACGTTTTATTATATTTTATACTTGACACATATTCATATAGACTTAGGAGTTTATTTATTTATTTATTCTGTAATTTTTAACGATGTCGTTATGTATAATTACGCAGCTATTACACGATACAAAAAATTCGCAGTGATAACGACAGCGTTAAAAGTTACAGAATAGAGAATTTAGTTTAGACTCTATTTAAATTATTGTTTTACAGCTGATGGATTTCTTTAAAATAACATAATACTATCCATTAGCATGAACCGCTCAATACTTGTTTTGTGCGTTGATTTTTTAATTTTATTATGTTGACATTGATCTATAATTCTTAACTCTTTTATAACGATATATCTCATATTTACAGTTTTTCTTTTAATTGACTAATCAATATGACAACTTTGGTTTCACCGCAGTTTCATAAAAAACAAGATGCATTTAGATTCAATCAAGCTTTATACTTTATATTTAAGTAATTTGTGTGTGCGATTAATTGTATAATTGCCAATTAAGTAGACTTTGATTTTTTGTACACTGAAGATGGCCAAAACCAATGCAACAAAACTGTATTTCGTACTGTACTTTGATTAAAGATTTCGAGCACTTAAAACACAGCTCTAACTCTATTTGCTTGTTTATTGCGTTTTTAATATTGCTAAATAAAATACATCATATCTTTATTTTATTATGAGGATTTTCATCATTCCTATGATATCAAGATAGGAATAGCACTCCCACAAAAAACTCCCAAGCAATTTTTGCAGGTTGAAAATAATTTTATTGTAATTTACGGTATCGATATACATAGTATAATTTTTTTCCCAAAGCAAAATAATGCGTCTTTTCCGAGAAATTCAATAAGTATGTTTACATGAGACACTCTGTATATAGGGTGTTCAAAAAGTCTCAAAATAGTCTTAATATTTCAGAAACAGAACATTTTACAAAAAATGTAGACAAAAATTGTAGTGTTAAAAAAATCTAATCTAATGTCCTGAACAATTTGACCTTACGTGGCGTTGCCAAGGTTATACCCAATAAACATTAGGACATTCTATGTACGTCCTATGTATATACATATATGTATATTGTATATTTTATGTATATACAGAGAATGTGAAAAGTATATAAACCGCATATCCTATGTATCTGAAATAATTACCACATGTATGTACATAGGATGTCCATAGTACATACATAGATATATTCCAAAGATATGCAGTGTACATTCGTGGTATATACATGGGGTATATTTCGAGGATGTGCAGTGCACGTTCGCAATATGTACATAGGATATATTCTGAGGATGTGCAATACACATTCGTGGCATGTACATGAGGTACATTCTATGTATGTACATAGTAAATACAGTACGTTTTTTTCACATTATGGATATTCCATGTATATACATAGGATATCGAATGTTTACTGGGTAATAAACAATTTTCATTTTTGATATTTATCTACCCAATTTTTGAACAATCAGTTTATCTAAATTCCTTGTGTTGGAATTCAGATATTAAACTGATAGAAAAAGTTATTACATCTTCAATATTATTACCCGCCTTGTGCAAGTTTTTATAATCTCATGATTAAAACTTAAATACGAGATAGATAGCGCAT